CAGGGACTGAACTCACGACCTTGTGCTTGTGAGGCATGCATGGTGCCACTGAGCTAAATCTCCAGACCTAGATAGTGAGTATCTTGAGAACAGGACCATGTCCCTCTGTCCCTGCCACTTCAGATCCTGTGTTCAGCAGCACAGTGGGCCTGGCACACAGCAAGCACTCAGTGCACAAATTAATGCCCTGTGTGTGTTTGTGTGTGCGTGTGTGTGTGTGTGTGTGTACACTCAACTGGCTACATGGCAACGTGAGCTCAGGCCACCATGTTCTCTGATGTCTTCCACGCATGTGTGCTGAACAGCACAGGGGACAGTGGGGCATCCTGGGAGTAGCAATGATGGCCTGCTCAGAGCTCGGGACCCGGGAGCAGGGGTCTCCAGCAAGACCAAGGTGAGCGGAGGCTTCCCAGGGAATTGGCCATAACCCAAACTGGGAGTCAAACCCCAGACCTGGCAGATGAGCTGGCACAGCAGCCCGTGTGGCACCGATCCCCCTGAGGAATTACCAGCATTTAACTTTGGTCCGTCCCTCTCCACCAGACCCCAGACTCTGTCACATGTGTTGTGGAAACTGCATTTGTATACCCTGTTCAGCCTCAGATCCCTCGTGCCTGGTACCATGCCTGGCACATGCACAGGGGCGCTCAAAAAATGTTTATTCACTGAATTAGTAGAAGAATGAATGAAGAGAGGCTAAGAGGCCCAGCAACACGCAGAGATGTACGTGATGTCATTGTTATTATTTTCTAAATATTGTATACATTTAAGTTTTTTCTATAGTGAGAATGTGTTCTTTCTAAATAGAGAAAAGCAGAAGAAAGCCAGGAAGAAGTAAAGTGAAAGACTCATTTTTAAAAAAAGCGTATTTATGAGCTGAGTCTGGTGGTATAGATCTGTAATTACCAGCACTCTAGGAGGCTGAGGCAGGAGAATCACAAATTTGAGCCCAGCCTGGGCAACTTTGCAATTTAGCCAGATCCGATCTCGCAATAAAAATTTTAAAATGCTGGTTATGTGGCTCAGCACAAAGGTCCTGAATTCGTTCAGTATCGGGGAAAAAAAAAGTTGCGAAAGATTTTTGGCACAGGAAAATCTATAAAGTTTATTGAAAAAAGTACATTACAAAATTGTGCGTGTCACATAACGATGTAAAAACATGGAGTTATTAGAAGGTAATGGTTAAATTTCCATTAAAAAAAGATATGCAGTGGGGCTGGGGATTTAGCTCAGTGGTTCCACTGCCTGTCTCACGAGCGCAAGGACCCGAGTTCGATTCCCCGTACAAAAACAAAAACAATATATGTAGGGCCTGGGATGCAGCTCAGTGGCACAGCACCTGCCTGGCAAGTGTGAGGCCCTGAGTACAATCCCTGGTACCAAAAACAAAACAAAAACAAAAATATATGCAGCCAGGCATGGGGACACCCACCTATAATCCCTGCACTCTGGAGGCTAAGGCAAGAGGATTGCTGCAGGTTCAGGACCAATCTGCACTACACAGACCCTTTCTCAAAAATCAAATCACAATTATCATCGTAAAATAAAACTATGTGTACGCATAAGAAGCTACAGAATAAAGTGCAGATTTTTTTTTCTCCCAGTACTGGGGCTTGAACCCAGGGCTTTCACACTGAGCTACATCCCCAGCCCTTTTCCAGTATCTGGAACCTTGAGACAAGGTCTCACTAAGTGGGCTAAGACTGGGCTCGAACTTACAGTCTTCCTGCCTCAGCCTCCGAGAGTAGCAGAGATTACATGCATATACTGCCACCCCAGGCTCAAAACTACAGAACATTAAAGTGACACCAGAGAGACGCAGAGTCAAATCCTGAGCTGCCAGGGCCAGGGATTTAGCTCAGTGGCATCATGCCTACAAGGTCCTGAGTTCGATCCCCAGTACCACACACACACACACACACACACACACACACACACACCCTGAGCTGCCATCTTGGACTCTATGATCCTGCACTTGGCTGTCTCAACCTCTCTGAACTTCAGTTCTCTCCGATTTCCTGTTTCTGAAAGACGATGACCAATACCAGCAAGAGTTAAACCCTAACCCTAACTTCCCAACTGACAGCAATGTGTCTGTGACACTGGGCCCTTCATTTGTGCTCCTGTGCATTAAGTGTACTCCGTGGAGAAATGAGGACCCCTCGTGTGTTCTCCCAGGCAGCAGCCATCGTCTTGGGGAGCCCAGGAAGGGACTGGGGAGCTGCGTGCAGGCCAGGACCAGGACCAACCGGGGAGTAAGCTCAGGGTGCTGCCTTCCAGGCCCCACGCAACCCCTGGAGGGCTGCAGCCGCTGGGCACCGAGACCAAGGAGCAGCAGGGAACACCGTGCAGGCCACAGATTGAGCAGGACCAGCGCCTTGAGAGCAGCCGGGTAACCTCGGAGACCCGGACTGACCACCCCAGGGGAGGGGACAGGGCCCCCTGGTCAGCATTCAGGTGCACTTGTCTTTGGGATTTGGGGAGCCCACAGCACAGGCCCTTCATCGTGATTCCAGGGGGGCTCACGGGGGTTGTGGGCGCTAGGGACACGGTGGCGATGAGGTTCCACGTATGGTGGGACGGACTCCTGCACACCACCACATCCTGGAAGCTGCTCGTGAACTGCACACCTGGTGATATCTTGCAAGTTATTTAGCTAAAAATTTATTTTTGTTTATTTTTATGATTATTATGATTATTATTATTTAATGTTTTTTGGAGACTGGGTCTCACTATGTAGTTGAGACTGACCTGGAACTCACTATGCAGCCCAGGCTGGCCTCGAACTCAGTGATCCTCCTGCCTCAGCCTCCCCAGTGCTGGGATTACAGGCCTATGCCACCAGGGCCGGCCAGTATGGTCATCTATTTTATTTAAATATTCAAATAAGTGTGCAATAGAAATTCACTAAGGACTCAATCTGCATTTTCCTACTGACTGTGATGTCTGATGGAGAAGCATATTTTCATGTGCTTATAGGCACATTTGTATATTTATTTATTTGGAGAAATGTTTTTTCAAATACTTTGTCCATTATCTTAATGGGATTAGTCTTTTGTTGTGGAGTTCTAGATTTTGGATTTTTGCTTGTTGTTTTTTAGTCCTGAGGATTAAGCCCAGGGTCCTGAAAATTGTAGGCAAACACTCTGCCACTGAGATACATCCCTGGATCTTTTATGACCAGGCTGGCCCCAAACTGGGATCCTCCTGCCTCAGCTTCCTAAGTAGCTGGAAATGCAGGTATCTGCCACTGCACTCAGCTTGTAAGCACTGTTTTAAAGATTTTTTATAAATTGTAAAATGTTGGTATAAAACATATAATTAAACGTTGTATCCATGCGTATTATCACGCAGCACAGCGGGTTTCACTCGGGCACGTCTGGTCCGCAGTGTGTCACACCTCGATCGCTCTCGCTCTGCCACTACTCCCTCCCTTTGCTCTTTCCTCTCCCTCTTCCCCTTCTTCCTCTGTCAGTGCTCTTTCTTCTACTCTCCTGCAGCCTCTTCCCAACACCAGCTCCCTCGTACGACAGAAAGCATGAGATTTTTCACTTTCTGAGTCTGGCTTGTCTGCATTAACACGCTCTCCAATTCCACCCATTTTCCTGGTTTTTGTTCCGGGGCTCGAACTCGGGTCCTCATGCTCCCGAGGCAGGCAGCAGCACCGCTGAGCTAAGTCCCCGGCCCACCCATTTTTCTTGAAATGAGGTGAGTTTGTTTTTTCCAGCTCCTCCATTGTTCACAGAACTTTTCATTTCTGGTGTCCCCGTCCTTGGCAGGACCCGGAGTGCCCGTCGCCAGGTCAGCAGGCGGCGAGTGGCTTGGACACCATGCATCTGACAGAGTCTTGCTGTGCCCTGGACAGCGGTGTGCAGCCCCCGGGAGATGACCGCCGCGGGGAGGCTGGAGACCCACGCATCCGGCCCCGGGAGGCTCTGCAGGAGCCTAATGCAGCGGGGAGTGAGGGCAGCTCCCAGGGAGCAGCGCACCCAATGCCCATGGCGACGGCTGAGGCAAAGACAGCCACAACCCTCTTGCCACCCACACTGGGACCTAAAGCCCCCAGGGAAGGGTAAGTCACCCTCCACCGCCCTCCCTGCCCTGCTCCCTAGCCCTGCCAAGCTGTCCTGCTGAGGTCCGGATGTCACTGAGATGAATTAAGTTCTGCTGCCCCTGCCCGGTGAGCTTGGGCGAGCCGTGCCCCTCTGGGCCTCAGTTTCCCCATCTGGATGATAGCTTTAAAACCATCTGTTTTGCAAGACGGGAGCGAGGGAGGACCCCCCTGGGATGAGAAGTCCGGGGGTTGAGGCCTGGGCAGTGAGACCGAGGTCCCTGGGAGCTGAGAACGGGTGCAGGGGATCTGAGCAGAGGCCCTCCCTGACCTGGGGTTTCTTCCCTATGTAGAGGTGAGGCTGCCGGGACCCAGCCAGCACCAAGGCCTCTTCCCCTAACCGTGAGAAGGGAGCGGAGACGGATGGGTGGGGAGGACGGAGGGGCCCGAGGAGGAAGCGGAGGCCACGTGAGGCGGAGGGACGAAGGCGTGAGTGTGAGCCTGTGCGTGCGTGCCCACCTGTGCACACGCACACGCTGGCACGTCTGTGTGCGAGGGCTCCGCGACGCTCCGATGCAGCCGGTGGGTCCGCCCCAGGGCGCGGCTCCTCCTGC